CTGGTTTTCTTCCTAGAAAAAGAGAACCTATACAGCACCACCCAGTCAGGTTTCAGACCAAACAGATCCACAGTCGACCAAATCATTAGGCTGGAGGATGATGTCAAAAACGGGTTCAAAAGGCATACACAACGATGGCCGTCTTCCTAGACCTGTCTCTGGCATACGATCAATGCTGGCGAGAAGGGGCACTGATCAAAATTAAAAGGCTCGGCGTCAGAGGAAGAACCTATAACTACATCAAAAGCTTCCTGAGCGAGAGAACTTTCTCAGTCCTAATCAAAAATGAAGTTTCCGCCACTCTCACACAAGAGAACGGCATTCCTCAAGGTGCTGTGATTTCGCCTACGATCTTCACAATCATGGCGAATGACCTGCACGGTGCAATCACAGACAGCAAAATACAACTGTCCCAATTTGCGGACGACTGCGCGCTGTGGCTGACTGGACGGGATTTGCCTAAAACTCGTAACGAGCTTCAGATCGAATTGAATAACATAATGCACTGGATGAACCAGTGGGGGTTCAATGTCAACACCGACAAATCCGTGCTTATGATATTCAACAGAAAGATGAAACAGCTATACGAAGAAAACGCAACCAGAATTGAAATGGGAGGCAGAGTGATTCAGAGGAGAGTGCACACCAAATTCCTAGGGATGGAGCTGGATGAACAACTGAGCTGGAACAGGCACATAGACTACACGGTGGAACGTACTAAACCACTCATAAATATGCTTAAAATCATCAAAGGCAGCGGATGGGGCGCACATACGAAAACAATGCTGTCGTTCTACAAAGCATATATACGAGGGAGAATGGAGTACGGTTCCATCGTGTACGAAGCGGCTGCCGACTCCAAGAAAAAAAGCCTAGACTCCATCCAAGGACAAGCACTGGCGTCCATCATAGGAACAGGCAAAACCACATGCAGAGCCGCCATGGAAGTGGCACTCGGCGTCATCCCTCTGAATCTCAGGAGAAAACAGCTAGCCCTGAACTACTGGATGCAAACGTCAGCTGACCCGACACACCCCGCCAGAAAGGCGTTCCATCCGAACGTACACCAACATGGCGACCAGTGCAAACTACGTTTCCTAGAACCAGTCGCCTGGCTGCTAGCTAGATCAAGGCTAAGCGGGTCAGTAAAACACGCGTTCCAAAACACCAAAAGACATGTAGCTTCCATCCCACCATGGGAACTGATTCCCCCCGCAACCGACACCCGACTCACGAAACTCATCTCAAAACAACCGAGAAAGGAGAAGCTAGGACAATAGCAGACGAGCTCATCCAAAGCCTGACCGAGGACAGTTCCCTTATTATATACACCGATGGCTCCAAAAATGAGAAGGGCAAGGTCGGTGCGGGGCTCTACTCATCAAAAGTCAGAGTCACAGAGCAGTACAAACTAACAGACGGGGTCGCCATATGCACCGCCGAACTGATAGGGATACAGAAAGCTCTGGACTTAGCCCTGACAACAATGCACAAAAAAGTCTACGTTTTTACTGACTCGCTGGCCGCTGTTCAAGCATTAAGCAGCCTCTGCAAAAATAGCAGACCCGACATCAAAGAGGGTATCCTGACCGCAGCAACAAAACTTCGACAAAAGGGGTGCCACCTCACAATCGGCTGGATACCAGCCCACAAGGGAATAATCGGCAACGAAAAAGGCCGACATGGCAGCCAAAAAGGGCATCAACTGCGACCGCACCCTACACATAGGCCTAGGCAAATCAGAAGGCCGTGCAGTCGCAAGACAGTATATCACAGAGGCCTGGGACACACAATGGCAACAAGGTGTGCAGGGCAGACACGCCTTCCAACTACTAAAAAAAACCCAGACTCGCCTCCCAGATCAAAGACCCGATGAAAATACCAGTCTTCAACAAATTGTGGAACCTCAGACTCGGCAACTGGACGGAAACGTACAAAACGCCGAGGTGTGCCGAATGCAATATGAACAACACACTAGCCCACTTCCTACTGGAATGCTCCAGGTTCGAAGTGCAGAGGCGCCCAATTTTGACCCACCTACGAAGCAAAAACACCACTCCCTCTGTCACCGAGATCCTGCATGTAAACAGCGACCCGGACACCCAGAAACTGGTGAAACAATACATAAGTAGAACAAATGCAGGAAAAAACTACCAACCCAGCAACAACAACGCATTCAGGAACAGCCCAACCACCAACTGAGAGGGAAACAGACCAGAGGACAGCGACACCCTCTCTCTCAAGCCAGGACACCCAATAAAGGAGCCTCTAAATACTACTCATCTTTCTCAACTTCCGACCTCACTTTAAGTCCTTTAAAATTTCTCGGAACTTTATCAATTGACTGTACCTATACTCATGTCCACTACATCTTTACCATTTTTTACAAGAAGAAAACTTGTCTAAACAATTGAAAAAAAAAAAAAAAAAAAAAAAAAAATTTTAAAAAAAAAATAAAAAAAAAAAAAAAAAAAAAAAAAAAAAAAAAAAAAAAAAAAAAAAAAGCCGAACGCACATGCACATGCAAGATGCGAAAACATAAAGGCACAAAAAAGATGTTAAATGTGGGGACCTGAAAAGGGCCGTGTTTTGGGACGCTGACAGGCTGTTTGTATCGAGATGGTAACACCGGTGGCGCCTTGGTACACTCAGCGATGGCGGGCTGGCCAACAAGATACGGAAATGACATAAGGATGACAGGTGGCACGAACACAGGCGTATGGATACGCCACAATGGACAAATAACTATTGGACAATCCAAACAAATATACGCAGTCCCAAAATAACCGCCGCTCAATAATGGAGCTGGTTAGGGTGACAGGAACTTTCTTTTTTTTTAAACAAATCGGAATCGGAATGGACAGAGAGATAGAAACAAGAATACAGAAAGCAAATGCTGTCACATACCAACTATCACCTCTGCTTAAACATCCAGATATAACCATGAAGACCAAAAGACAATTGATAAACACCATCTTCATTCCAACACTCTGCTACCAGTGCCAGACATGGACAATCAACAAGACCCATGAAAGAAAAATAGAAGCCTGTGAAATGAAATGTCTAAGAAAAGCAGCGAATAAGACCAGACTAGACAGGATAAAGAACATAGACATTAGAAACACTGTCAAAACTACACCATGTTTAGACTACATAGAACATCAAAGAATGAAATGGTTTGGACATCTAACCAGGATGAAAAATGACCAAATAACATCACAAATTTTCAACCAAAGAAGCTCAGGATATAAGGCAAGAGGAAGACCAAGGAAATTGTGGATTGACGGGGTCTCCGAAACCTGCCAAAAGCATGGCCTCAGAACATCAGATGCTGCCCGCCTTGCTAATGACAGGAACTTGCATCTCCCCACAACGCTTAGCAGCATACGTGGAAGGAAAAAGTAAAAGTAAAGTAAGACACCAAGTATTTGTATGTCTGTCTGGACATTATCTATAATCTTCTTAGTCTGCCTCATGGTCTACAGCCATTCAGCTCCCTTGTGTGTACAGTTTTTACCACTCCATCATCTGACATTCAATAGGCTCAAGCCATTTCAGTATATTAGCTCTCAGGCTCCTAGTGATCAATGGTAACTGAAACAGATTATGTTGTTACTTCTCACTCTCCATTCTCCACTGCATCCTTGGGTCAAACAAACTTTAGTCTCCCCAGAGAAAGTAGGCCACGTTCCACTGATAACTTTCTTGGACTGGTCTAACCTGCTGGACATTATTGGTGTGCTGTTCTGTTGTTGCTTTCTGAGATATCCTCTATATACTTTTTTATTCAGAGAAAGAGAATGCCTGTGATATAGGTTCCATCACTCTCTAAAGGGGGTATGTGTTAGATCCAGTTTGTCGATGTTTTTGTAGTGTTTAGGTGGTGGAATGGGGAAAAATAGAAGAAGCGATATCAAAGGAATTGGCAAACACCACCGTCACCTTATGCCCAGGTTGGGTGACTCAAGATCGACCAATCAGAAGTGAGCTAGGCTGAAGATCCACCAATCGAAAGTGAGCTAGTGTGTATATGGGTGGTCCGTGGGGAAACTAACGTTTCCATTACCCATCTTTGACAGGCCCAAATATTAGTTGTAGGACTGTTTTAAAAAATCTGTAATAAGGCTTCGTCTCTTATAGTTCCGCTCCAAGTTTCAAAGCCATATAATAAAGTGACTGGTCTTATCAACGTTTTATAATTTTATATATTTTGATCCTGGGGTTGGATCTACATATTGACATTTAAATATTAACGGGCGTCTAGAAGTCCTGATTCTCAGTTATTATCTTATAAATATGACACTTGAAAGGTCAGGAAATTGACATCCATTATAATAGTTATTGTCATAAAATCAAGTCAAACATGTGAGGAAAAGTAGAGACAGATTAGATTGAGGCAGTCAGACTGAAGACTGATTAGATTGAGGCAGTCAGACTGAAGACTGATTAGATTGAGGCAGTCAGACTGAAGACTGATTAGATTGAGGCAGTCAGACTGATAAGACAATCAGATGGAGGTAACAATCAAACCTAGGTAAATAGTGGTGTTCAGTACTAACACAACACCAATCCAGTACGGATTGTCACTGAGCATAACTTTACTGACGTTTTCATTATGAGATTTTTAAAAAAAAAGGAGGAGACTGAAGAAGAAGAAGAAGAAGAAGAAGAAGAAGAAGAAGAAAGAAGAAGAAGAAGAAGATTTCTATTAGGTTTATTATAGTTTATACTATTTTAATAATTTTATTTTTATTTTTAAATTATGATTCAGATTCATAATAATCAAATAATCATATTCACGAGCCAACTGGAACTATCATTATCATTCATTTTGTATTGTGATATTTCTACAGCTTGCAGATATAACAACTCAGTCAAAGCAAAAATCCAAAAGCCTGCCTAAAAATCTTTCGTGTCGCATCATTGGTTGATACTCCATGAAGTTCGTAAGTAACAACAGCTGTTGCTTTCAATGGGTTTCTGTGAAACCAGTAGGCCATCTTTGTTGACGGAAGTGTCGCAATAATTAGCCAGGGGCTGTTGGCTTGTTGTGCTAAAGGGAATAAAGTTTTGCCAAAACTGTGAATTACTGCACGTAGTAATTCACATAAATAAACTTATCAACGTTTAAAATTTTACATATTTTGAACTTGGTGTTGGATCTACATATTGACAGATAAATATAAACGGGTGTCTAAGGGCATTTATTCGTTGCACTATTGACCACTTTGAGGTGTAGGCCAAGAAAAAAAAAAGGGGGGGGGGGGGCAGACTTTCGACTTAGAATTTAGGGCCCCATGGCTAGCGCTGTCAACACCGACTGTACAGGTTAACACCCCCCCCCCAAAAAAAAGAAACTTAAGCACACAAAGGATCCAAATCATGGTCTACCGCAGGCGAGCATAACGTTATTACCCGCGTGGCGAGTCGTTCCTCTTGAAATGGGTACAACATCAAAAAGAATAGAAATTAGATGTGTGGGAAATGACGTAGGAGTCACCAGAAGAGACAAAATTTGGATAAAAGGCCAGAAATGAAACCGTCAAGAAATAAGCAATACTAAAGTAAATAAAAGGGAGTAAAATTGTGACAACAGAGATGAAATGTCATAGAAGAGCTGCAGGAGTTTCAAGGAAAGATAGAATCGGAAATTACGAAATCAGAAGAACGCTAGGAATAAAGCCAGTCTTACAGGTCATCAAAGAACAACAAATGAAGTGAATTGAACATCTAACAAGAATGCCGTGGTAATATCTACCACAGCGAGCTACACTAAAACATTACAACGGGTATTAAGTATGCATTCTTAGTGACTCGATGAATAAGTTTTAAACAAATCCAAGCTGGATTTATTAGGCAAGAATGAATTGCAACGCTTGGCACTTCACGAATATCTGCCCTAACTTTTATCTGTTTGCCAGGCTATGCGGGTGTTCAAGGGAACGAAAGGGCAGACTATCTTGCTGACACTGCGGTTGCTATGGCTGGCCCAGTACTGGACAGAGTTCTAATACTGATGGTGACAGTCACAATCTGGTTATATGTCCGTCTTGCCTTTCCTCTGAGTGTAGTGAGCCGGTCAGACCTTCTGGTTACACCCAGGTGCCTCATTCTCTCCAGGCCATAATAAACTTATTGATCTACTGACTCCCAATAGGCTGTCAGCTGTATGGACACCTCACTGCTGTGACAATCTTGATAATTTAAATTTGAAGTAAAATATTGGTCCAGCCCTATATTCCCAAAAGCCTAAAGACGTGGCAGAGGGACCTTTACTTTACAATTTCAAGCGCTAATCAAGAATGTCTGACCATTTGCTGATGGGTTTCTTAAATTCTCAAAATTCCCCAGACATATTAAACAAAGCCATTGCATGCATATTTAAGCTGGACGACATTGGAAAAAAAAAAAAAAAATCATGCACATCTTGACCTCTTAGGATGACATTTTTCGTTATTTGAAGCCCTACTCTGGCTTTTTCCAGTGGCCGCAAAATAGCCTGGCCATAAATATGGCCTAAAGGTTGAACGCGGTTTCTGGGACCTCTCCACAGTGATCCTCACCCACATGGTGGCACATTGTGTCATTGGGTGTTTATCGCTTGTGTGAAGTCCAGGTGGGGTAAAAATGCAGTCAGTCAGAAAAAAAAAATATTCTATTAGATATATTAATGAATGACTATTGCCGAAAATGTTTGTGAGCGAAGTAACCACATATTAACATTAGGTGAAACGTTGATTTGGAGTTAGACACACGATAGTGTAACTTTTTAGGTGATGCAATCACTTATCACCTTTAATTAATATACAGGCTTACAAACTGGAAAGATATAGACAATATATGTTGCGACTCTGCATTTTGCTTCAAAGGAAATGACAATACAATACCTAGCACATATTTCTCAGAAGCAAAATGCATTTGACATATAAAACTTTAAAATCCATTAGTATGATAGCCCAACAGGAAACCATCAAATGTGTTTAGTGTCGGTGCCTGTGTTCTAGTATGACCAAAGACGAGAAGCCTTTGTGGTGAAATAGACGGGCCGTTTGCCTCGCGCTTTAAAATACATGCGCACACTCGCGAGAGCGCAAACACTCACATGCACACACTCCATCATTCACTTACACACACACACACACATACATACATACATACATACATACATACATACATACATACATACATACATACATACATACATACATACATACATACATACATACATACATACATACATACATACATACATACATACATACATACATACATACATACATACACACATACATACATACACACATACACACACACATACATACATACATACATACATACATACATACATACATACAGACAGACAGACAGACAGACAGACAGACAGACAGACAGACAGACAGACAGACAGACAGACAGACAGACAGACAGACAGACAGACAGACAGACAGACAGACAGACAGACATACCTGTATACATACAAAAACACACGCAGATACATAGAGAGAGAGAGAGATAAAACCAGACAAGCATGAAGACATACAGAGGCAGACACTCAGGCAGATACACACACGCAGACACACATGCACAGACAGAAAAAGACACACAGACACACACAACACATACATAGAACCACACACGTAGACACACACATAACACACATGGACAATTATTCACCGACAGACACATACACACACATGCAGAAACACACGCAGACACTCAGGCACACACAAACTTGCGAATAAACATACGGAATCACAAACAGACACACAAACATACACACACAGACACATACAGGCACAAACACACACACATAAATACGCAAAGACATACACTCAGACACACATACAGTAACACAAATATAAACACACACACAGAAACACATACCAGACACACATACAAACACGCAGACAAACACAGAGACAAGCACACACACACACACACCGACACACACAGAGACACGCTCTTTATAGGTTCCAGGTAGTTCGCATCTTTTGAATATTTTCTCAATGGCTGGCAGGTAAGCTGGTAAATGAGCATGCAGACAGACTGGCCGGTTCTGCACCACTTGGTGATGAACTGATGTATAACAAGTTAAAAGCTGTGAGGGCCCTTTTGAAGCGAGTAAACAATAGGCACAAATAGATCAACACGCCCTGAGAAGAATGGCTCTATAAGGAGTTACCAGGGGATCTGGCCGATGTTCAACACTCAAGGGAAAGGCGAGACGATATCCAATCAGACAATTGCTGCTACGATCGAAATTGGAACTCTTCGCTTGCTGCTGAAGATGGGGTACAGAGCGCTTATGGGAGTGTATCGAGTGCTATGAAGTCGATTCCTAATTCAACATTCCAGCTGTTTCATAGTCATTTCAGTCTGTGTGTGTTGTTTTGTTTCCTGCTATGATTTTTAGAATAGTGCAAAGCCATTTTTATTGTAATTTTTTTGCACTTTTTTTTAAATTGAAGAATCTTCTAGCCTTCTTTTTTAAAATAAGCTCTATAACATCAAGGGTGCTAGAAAACCGGGGTCCTAGGTATATAAATCTCCCCCTTTGCAAATTTGGCCGTGTCCCTCATTTCCGTACATACACTTTCTAGATGTGAGTATTTGTTTATCCCTTTCATATTACTTCACATATATTATTGTATTTATTTGCCATTTATCGCAAAATAATGCCGCTAATAATAATAATCATAAAAATAATACATTTTATTGTTTTCATTTTTTTGCGCACTTCAACAATATTGCCTTAGGAGTTCAGAGGACCCCAGTTGCCTTATAATGGGGCTAAGGTTCTCCTCAACCCATCCCACCCGCATTGATTTCTTCATGGCGGCGAGCCTGCAAAAACCGCACAATAGCAGTACCAATACAAGGCGCTTATTGTTCGCAAAATCAACACAGAATAGTAGGCTACAGCTGACGGAACACTGGTGTGAAGAGACGTTGATACCATGTTGACAACCCTTTTGCAATAAGCGGCATATTGGAGTCACTACAAAATATGTCAGTATATATATATATATATATATATTTATATATTTCTAGGCACACTTGGCTGGACACCCCCACTACTTACTAAAGAAAGCCCCCAGGTTATGATAGTTCATTATCATAACCATGTTAACACATATAATGAAGATACACATACATACACAACTGCTAAACACTTAAAAAGGTGAAATAGAGACACCTAAGTCAGCCATGAAAATGAATGTATGTAATCAATATAAATTAGATATATAAAAGTGAGACAAATGCCAGATCTCAGGATATCATGTCCAAATCACAAAGATACTACACAGACAGAAGGTCTTGGAGATGACATCTTCTCATCACTGGACACAAGGAGCTGTGAGGAACACAACATCATGCGAAGCATCAGACTTATCTTCTCTTCTTTCTGTCTATGATGCCTCCCTCAGCTCCGGATGATTCGACTGTCTTTGACTCTGGGAATTCTGCTCCACTGGATCAAGTAGTAAGAGTACTTCACTATATAAGACACAGCAACTGTACCGGTATTTAGCAAGTCTCTATCACCAGTAAGGACACACAATGTCTTTGAGCCACATTAAGCTCTAGCACTGGTAGCTGTTTGAGGTACCATCTCCCACATGTTGGAGATGTCAGGAACCTTCACAGGTGTTAGCTGGTGGGTAACAAGTTGTTTCTGGTGGTTTGATGGTTGGGTGGATGTTGGTTGGACTGTGAATCTTCTGCCAGCTCTTCAGAAAATATACATCCTGTCAAGAAAATAACTCAACATTAGTCATCACCAAGAGGGTAACATCTTGACAGGAAAGACAGAGCAAGCATCAGTCATCAACCCCCATCTGCTGACTCCTCCCTGCTCTCCTGTTTCATTCCTCAGATTGCCTCTCCAGACCAAAAGACATAAGTCTCCTATATTTATCTGTCTGTTTAGTGCAAGAGAAGGCAAGTCAGATATACAGTGGAGATAGATAAAGTGGTCTAACACATATATCACTCTCCC